GGCGGCGAGGGGAGAAGCTCGGCCACCTCGTGTGGCTCTGCCGCAGCGCCCGAGCCTGTTCAGCCAGCGCAGAGCTGGTCCTCCCCTCCTTGGCATCACAGCTTGAACTTCCCTCCGCTTCGCTTTTAAAGCTTGAAGGGGTTGGGGAGCGTTGAGGTCCCTCTGCCTCCCCTTCCCCAGAAGCTGGGCTGAACGCCGGAGCTCGCCGGCAGTGACCAACGCCCACCTCGTGTGGCTCTGCCGCAGCGCCCGAGCCTGTTCAGCCAGCGCAGAGCTGGTCCTCCCCTCCTTGGCATCACAGCTTGAACTTCCCTCCGCTTCGCTTTTAAAGCTTGAAGGGGTTGGGGAGCGTTGAGGTCCCTCTGCCTCCCCTTCCCCAGAAGCTGGGCTGAACGCCGGAGCTCGCCGGCAGTGACCAACGCTTCTCTCTCCTTGCCCGTGCGGCTCCAGGAGGTGGTCTCCCACTGCAAGAAGCTGACCAAGAAGAACAAGGAGCAGCTCTCGGAGATGATGTCCATAGACAAGCAGAAGGGGCTCAAGTCGCTCAGCAAGGAGAAGCGGCAGAAGCTGGAGGCCTACCAGCATCTCTTCTACCTGCTGCAGGTTGGTTGGGTGTGTCCACCACAGCTGGGGGAGCAGTGCCGGGACCCTGGGCACCCACCACCCCCTGCCACTCCACGACACTTGGGGTTAGCTTGGTGTTCCTCGTCCCTGCAGACCCAGCCTATGTACCTGGCCAGGCTGATCTTCCAGATGCCCCAGAACAAGTCCACCAAGTTCATGGAGTCGGTCATCTTTACACTTTACAACTATGCGTCCAACCCACGGGAGGCTTACCTGCTGCTCCAGCTCTTCAAAGCAGCGCTGCAGGAGGAGATCAGGTGGGTGGCCATGGGTGCCCCAGTTTGGGGACAGGTCCAGGAAAAGGCTGAACCAGGGGCATCAGCTTGGATGCAGTTATCTCCTTTGGCTGCTGCCTCCTGCGTTGGAAAACAAACACAGTGGTCCATCCCTTTCATCCCGTCCATCCCCTTCATCCCATCCATCCCGTCTCTCTCCCCAGGTCCAAGGTGGACCACGTCCATGACATCCTGACGGGGAACGCCACGGTGATCCGGCTGGTGGTCAGCTTCTACCGCAACGCGCGCGGGCAGAACGCCCTGCGGCAGATCCTGGGTGGCCCAGTGCAGGAGGTCCTGCAGGACAAGACCCTCAGCATCCGCACCAATCCTGTGGACATCTACAAGGCGTGGATCAACCAGACCGAGTCGCAGAGTGGGCAGAAAAGGTCAGGCCCTGAGCAAGGAGGCTTAGCCCGACCACAGGGTGACGGGCGTTGGGATGGTGATGGGGACCTTGTCTTCCATCCACAGCAAGCTCCCGTACGAGGTCAGCCCTGAGCAGGCTCTCAGCCACCCCGAGGTCCAAAGGCGGCTGGATATTTCTATCCGCAACCTCCTCACGATGACGGAGAAATTTGTCTCTGCCATCACCTCTTCTGTAGACAAGATCCCGTATGTATCTCGACGGTTTGTACGCATGTCCCTGCAGTGCTGTTGGCTTGAAGGTAGCTTCAGCGAGGCTTTAGAAAGGGAGGTTGGGTGATGGGGGCTTCCCAGCCCCTTAGCTGCTGCAGGACTGAGTTGCTGCACTGTCAACAAGGGGAAATTCGGGTATCAGCGGGTGCTGCTGCTTCTGCTCCTCCGGGAATGCCCCGCTGGGCTCTTCTTGCCACTCCATTTCTGAGCGCTTTACTAGTGGCATTGAGGTATCTGCAAGGAAGAAGCTGAGCTTTGCGGTAATCTTGGAGGATGAAGACTTCTTTCAGGGACGTCTGGGCTGGCAGCAGGGGAGGGGAGGGAGTTGAGGGATGCTGCAGCCGCCAGCCCCTCCTATGGGCTCCTCCATCGCCCCAAGGCTTGGGGGGGCTTGCCGCTTCTTGGGTGATGGGTAGTAGGGATGGGGCAGGGTGGCTGAGCCCGGTGCTGCCCCACATGCTGATGGACCTCTCCCTGCCCTCTCCTCAGCTATGGGATGCGCTACGTGGCCAAAATCCTGAGGACATCCTTGGCTGAGAAATTCCCCAAGGCCTCGGAGGAGGAGATCGACAAGGTACCCCGGGGCTGGGGGGTCTGCGCGGCTTGGTGGGGTTCAACCGTGTGTGTGTGAAGGGCCAGTATCCCTCTACAGAAGTCCTCTTGACTTAAAAACGCCTTCAAGTCAATGTTTTCTTTGAGCCACTAAGGAAATGCCAATGGAAGGCTCTTCTCTGTGCTGCTGTCCCCTCCGGGAGGGTCCCACCGGGCAGGGCAAGGACAAAACAGTCTTCCCTGCTGAGCTACCAGCCCCTGTGCTCCCCAACACCCAGCCTGTCTTGTCCCCTAGATCGTGGGGAACCTGCTCTACTACCGCTTCATGAACCCAGCGGTGGTGGCCCCCGATGGCTTCGACGTCGTGGACATCTTGGCCGGGGTGACCCTGCACCCCGACCACCGCCGCAGCCTGGGCTCCATCGCCAAAGTGCTGCAGCACGCGGCCGCCCGCAAGGCCTTTGATGGGGAGAACGCGCATCTCTGCGGGGTGAACCAGTACCTGGAGGACACCCACAACAAGTTCAGGTGGGCACCAGGAGGGCATCGGGGTGGGAGGGTGGCTACGAGCCGGTGGCAGGGTTTTCGGGGCTGACCAAGGAGGTTCTTCTCTGCAGGAGGTTCATCTCTGCTGCCTGCTGCGTCCCTGAGCCAGAAGAGAGGTTTAATGTGGACGAATACTCGGAGATGGTGGCGGTGGCCAAACCGGTCATCTACATCACAGTGGGAGAGCTCATCAACACACACAAGGTAAGGGCATAAAACTCATCAGCAAACAAGCAGGTTCCATTTCTTCTGCTCTCACCTCCTGGGCTTTCTGCTGCGTTTCATCATGCTCCTCTGTATCCCACCACCAGCACCGCTCCTCCTGGCCTTTTTTTCCCCTTTTTAAGCAAGCAAATAATCCAGATTCTGCAGGTTCTCTGCTGCTTGTCCTTCCCTGAACCTCGTAACTTTGCAGTCCCCTCTTGGGCGCAAAGGGTGTTGCATCGTTCCTGACTGGCCTTCGCTCCGTTTCTTTGCATGCTCCTTTGCCACTGACTCTCCTCCCTTGCACCATCCAGCTCCTGCTCGAGCACCAGGATTCCATCGCGCCGCACCACGGAGACCCCCTGCACGAGCTTCTGGAAGATCTTGATGAGCTGCCTACGGTCCAGTCCCTTGTCGGTAGGTAGAGCTCCGGGACCCACCGCCCACCCCGGCAGAAGGAGGATGGAGATCAGGATGCTTTTCTTGGATGAAGCTCTAGCTGGATTGCGTTGGGCTTGGGGAACCCAGCCCTCCTGACCCAATGTGGCTACCTGGGCTCTCTCTGCCCTCGCAGGGGAGAGCGTTCCCAGCCCGGCGGACAGCAGTGCCGAGCAGATGCTCTCCCAGCTCAGCAAAATGGAGATTTCCCTCACCCTCACCAGCAAGCTGGTGCCGGCGGCCAGCAGCGAGGAGAGCGACAGGAGGAGCTTGCTGCTGAGGTGAGGATGGGCTCTGCGGGCTTCAGGGGAGCTTGCTGGGGGTTGGGATGCCGGCTGGGATGCTCAAGGGGGGCAAGAAACCCTTGGGAAGCAACTAAATAATGTGCTGCTCTGGTGGAGGAGGGTGATGGTCCGGAGCAGACGCCTGACCTCTCCCTCTGGTCTCTAGCACTAAGCAGATGCTGGTGGACGTGATCCAGTCCCAGCCAGGAGATTCCCTCCCGGAGATCCTGTGGACAGTGGCTTCGGAGCACGAGGTGGGATGCGCGAAGCTGCTGCTGGGGATGAGCTAAAAAACTTCTTGGGGAAACGGCAGACAAGCCCTCAGCAAAAAGCTGCCTTGCTCCTCTCGAAAGCTTGGCCGCTGCTTTTACGCTCCAGCAGTGGCTGGGCTCTGTTTTTCAGAGAAAGCACGTGTTTTGGGCCCGGAGAGACTGGTATCAAAGTGTGTGTGTTGGGGGGGGTTGATTGCTCCGTCTCCGCACGTCCACTCCAGCCGTGTGCCAGGCTCGCCCCCTTCTCGTCCCTAGGAAGCCAGCCACGACCCTCTCCTGCACAGG